TCCCTACCTGCTCTATCCCTTGCATAATCTTATAAACCTCAATCAGCCATCATTAACCCCTCAGCCATCGTTTCTCCAAGCTCCATTTTAACCTTATTTCCATGTGGGATTATATCATAGGGAAAGTGTTTCAAGTGTTTCAGTGCCTCCTTCATTTTATCCGTAAGAACTGCATGCAGGTAACCAGTTGAGTAACTTCCAGATTCGTTTCCTTTTCCAGACTTACAACCAAAGCCAGTCAAATAAAAGAAGCCTTCTCAAAGCCATTTCTGAGAACAAAGTGCTCCGCCTTTACCAGCACAGCCCACGGATGATCCCCGAAGGCGTAAACCCCAAGATGCACAGGATGCTGATCACGCCCCAAGAATGTGAGCGAGACACTTCCCCACCCAGCCCCACAGAGGGGAGAGCCGTCTCCCTCCAGCAGAAGTGGCTTCCCGGTTACACTGGCGCTGGTAAGCTCCAAGCGCTTTAACCTTCCTTCATGGGGAAAGTGTTCCAACCCTTTGACCACTCTAGTTGCCCTTTTCTTCACTTTCCCCAATGCTATCATATCCTTTCTGAGGTGTGGTGACCAGAACTGTGCGCGGTACTCCAAATGCGGTTGCACCATCGATTTGTACAGGGGCATTATGATACTGGCTGATTTTTTTCAATTCCCTTCCTAATAATCCCCAGCATAGCGTTGGCCTTTTTCATTGCAGTCGCACACTGTCTCGACATTTTCATGGAGTTATCTACTACAACTCTAAGATCTCTCTCTCTTTGTCATTCTCTGCCAGTTCGGACCCCATCAATGTATATTCATAGTTAGGATTTTTGGCTCCAATGTGCATCACTTTGCACTTGGCCACATTGAACCCTATTTGCCACATTGACGCCTACTCGCCCATCCTCAACAGATCCCTTTGGAGTGCCGCACAATCCTCCCTGGTTCCCCCCACCCTGAACAACTTCATGTCATTTGCAAATTTAGCCACTTCACTGCTTACTCCCAACTCCAAATCATTAATGTACAAGTTAAAAAGCATTGGACTGAGTACTGGTCCCTGCGGTACCCCACTGCTTACCACCCTCCACTGAGAAAATTGCCCATTTATACTCACTCTCTCTTTCCTATTAATTAGCCAGTTTTTGATCCACAAGAGGACTTGTCCTTGTCCTTTTATCCCATGACTATTGAGCTTACTTAGGAGCCTTTGATGAGGAACTTTATCAAAAGCTTTCTGGAAGTCAAGGTAAACAATATCTATTGGGTCCCCCTTGCCCACATGTTTGTTCACCCCCTCAAAGACTGTACAAATTGCATTCTGGGAAAGAGACCTGGGGTAGAAGGAGCCAAAACACGTTCTCTTCTAAGAACAAGCATTTGAGAGGCAGAGATGGGAACTGCAGTCTCCCTCTTGAGTAGGCCAGCGCTGTCCTCGTCACAAAGAAAGGAAGCCACGCAGAGGGGAAAACAAAGGCCGCTGCCGAGAAGGAAATCGTGGCCACCAAGGTGCAAACAGGGTGAGCTCTGTTTGGGGGCACCCACCTCAGCCCCCTCATGGAACCACTCTGTATTGACGTGCAGAGTCTGCTGCGGTGGACCTCTTTTGTAGCTCAATGCCAAGCAAATCGCAAGCCTCCGCGGTTCACGAACTGCCCTTCTTGTGTTTGCTGAAGTGTTTACTTTAGCACAGTTCCTATAAAGCCCTGCTCTGTGGATCAGCTGTAAAGATCAAGGCTATCGTGTGCTTCAGAAAGAGCGAGTCTTCCGATTCAGCACAGCACAGCAGGCATCTGGAAAGGTCTGCATCCTTCCGAGGACGTGTGGCGGAGAGTCTCCTCAGATACAAGAAAAAGCCGACTGCTCTCTCAGAGCGAAGGTCTGCGTTAGCCCAGGTGTTCCAATTCCCCATCTAGCGAGCTTGTCGAAGCAAGCATTGTTCCGACTCTCCGGCTTGTGCCTTAGGCTTGGTGGCCGGGGGGCAGGAAGATAAAAATGAAGGGGCAGCAGCAGGCAGTCCTACAGCGAACAACCTGTCCTGAGAGGGAGACTCCCGGTGACAGATGCAGTCGTTGCTTGATCTCTCCGGAATAGGAACATCAAGGAGATTCTCGTCAGGATGGTCTGAAATACACCAGACTCCCCAAAACCATTCATGAGAGCATAAGAAGAGCCATGCTGGATGAGACCAGTGAGGGTCCATCTAGTCACCCAGACCAGCCTCCCGTCTCACACAGGGGCCAACCAGTTCCTCTGGAGGGCCAACCACAGGGCAGAGAGGCTGAGGCCTTCCCCTGATAAGAACATCAGAAGAGCCCTGCTGGGTCAGACCAGGGAGGGTCCATCTAGTCCAGCCTCCTGTCTCACACAGGGGTCAGCCAGTTCCTCTGGAGGGCCAACCACAGGGCAGAGAGGCTGAGGCCTTCCCCTGATAAGAACATCAGAAGAGCCCTGCTGGGTCAGACCAGGGAGGGTCCATCTAGTCCAGCCTCCTGTCTCACACAGGGGTCAGCCAGTTCCTCTGGAGGGCCAACCACAGGGCAGAGAGGCTGAGGCCTTCCCCTGATAAGAACATCAGAAGAGCCCTGCTGGGTCAGACCAGGGAGGGTCCATCTAGTCCAGCCTCCTGTCTCACACAGGGGTCAGCCAGTTCCTCTGGAGGGCCAACCACAGGGCAGAGAGGCTGAGGCCTTCCCCTGATAAGAACATCAGAAGAGCCCTGCTGGGTCAGACCAGGGAGGGTCCATCTAGTCCAGCCTCCTGTCTCCCACAGTGGCCAGCCCGTTCCTCTGGAGGGCCAACAACAGGGCAGAGAGGCCAAGGCCTTCACCTGAGAACAACATCAGAAGAGGCCTGGTGGGTCAGACCAGTGAGAGTCCATCCAGCCCACTGTTCTGTCTCACACAGTGGCCAGCCAGTTCCTCTGGAGGGCCAACAACAGGGCATAGAGGTTGAGGCCTTGATAAGAACATCAGAAGAGCCCTACTGGATCAGACCAGTGGTCCATCCAGCCCACTCTTCTGTCTCACACAGTGGCCAGCCAGTTCTTCTGGAGGTCCAACAACAGGGCATAGAGATCGAGGCCTTTTGCTGATAAGGACATCAGAAGAGCCCTGCTGGATCAGACCAGTGAGAGTCCATCTAGTCCAGCATCTCTTCTCACACAGTGGCCAGCCAGTTCCTCTGGAGGGCCAACAACAGGGCATAGAGATCGAGGCCTTCAGTACATCATCGGAAGAGCCCTGCTGGATCAGACCAGTTTAGTCCAGCATACCGTTCCGAACAGACATTTCATCTCCAAGCACTCCTTTAGGAGCATGCTCTCTAATCTCCTTTGATGGCTCTCCCAGGGTCAGCAGGGGCCTTGACGCCTATAGCATCGGTACTGATGGGTGCCTCAGCATTGCAGTAGACTTCTTTGCTTCAACCCCCAGCATCTCTCATTGGAAGGACCAGGCAGGAGGTGATGGGAAAGGCCCCTCCCTGAGACCCTGGAGAGCGGCTGCCAGCCTGAGTAGGCAATACTTTGATGGACCGAGGGTCTGATTCACTATAAGACAGGTACATGTGTTCATGTGATGTGGTTCGCATGCATAGACCTCAAGGATGTATACTTCCACATCACCCTTTGTCCATGACACTGATTATTTCTTCATTTAACGATAAGGAGGCGCCATGCCTGATAAAACAGCGGAAGGGACCATGGCTCAGTGGTGGGGCATCTATCTGTAGGGCATCCAGCAAGCAGACAGTCCCAGGTTTAGTCCCGAGGATCATTTAAGAAGGCCAAGAAACAGACCGCGTAAAAGACCACTCTCTGTGACCTTTGAGAGGCGCTGCCACTCAGAAGAGGCAGGACTGACCCGGGGAGGGGCTTGTGACTTGGTAGAAAGGAATTTTCTGTGTTCCCGTGCAGTTGCATGGAAGCAGCACCTGGTACTTTGGATGGTTAACTTGTAATCGAGACTCTAAGCTGTTTCCACTTGAGCCCTGTGAACTGTTTCAGTGGAAGACCTTGGTGGGTTTGTTTTTTTCTTTAAGAGCCCTACACCTGCAAATAATAATTAGTTATCTGGCCTTGATTGGCTGGCAGGTTGTTTAATATCACCCGCCTTTCTTTAGAACTGACTCACCCACCTTCCAGATCATGTGGGTCTGAGAGCTTGGAACTTTGTCGCGGCTGGCACGTTTGTTTTCTCACTGTCACCACGCAGTGATTTGCTATTTTTCTTTGAATCATCTTCAATAAACTTTGCCGGGCTTCCCAAAAGCTGAAGTGTGGAGCAGTGTTGCTAATGGGTGACCCCCTCCCCTTTCCCCAGAGTTGAACCAGAGCCTGAATCATAGAATCATAGAATGTTAGAGTTGGAAGGGACCTTGCAGGTCATCTAGTCCCACCCCCCTGTGCACTCTGCAGGAGCACAGCTGAAAGATAGCCCTACGACATACCCGAAAGATGGTCGTCCATCCTCCGCTTGAAAACGTCCAGCGAAGGAGCAGCCACCACTTCCCAAGGCAGACTGTTCCACTGCTCAACCACCCTTACAGCTAGGAAGTTTCCCCTGATATTTAGCCGGTAACGACTCCCTTGTAATTCCCACCCATTAGATCTAGTTTTGCAATCCGGAGCAAGAGAGAATAGATCCGCTCCATCTTCTACATGACAGCCCTTCAGATACTTGAAGACTGCAATAGTGTCCCCTCTAAGCCTTCTCTTTCCCAGGCTAAACAGACCCAACTCGTTCAGCCTTTCCTCCTAAGACTTGGATTCCAACCCTCTCACCATCCCGGTTGCCCTCTTCCGGACATGCTCCAGCTTGTCAACATCCTTCCTCAAATGTGGTGCTCAAAACTGGACACAGGACTCCGGGTGAGGCCTGAGTCCATAGCAGGATAGAGCGGAACTACCATCTCCCGTGATCTGGACACAAGGCTTCTGTTCATGCATCCTAAGATTGCATTAGCTTTCTTCACAGCCACATCGCACTGCAGGCTCCTGTTTAGCTTGTGATCAACCAGAACACCCAGATCCCTTTCACAGGTGTTGCTGTCAAGCCAAGTCCCCCCCCCCCATTCTATATCTGAAGCGGTGAGCCTTCAAAGAGCAGAGTGCTGTGAGTCCTGCCAAAGTAAATAAGCTCCTCCTTGCCAACTTGAGTCCTGGAGCCCCTGTAGGCTTTGGTAGAAGAACCAAGAGAAAAGTTCCTGGTTCACACAGCAGTCCAGTCCGCTTTTCAGTGTGGGCCAGCACAAACCAAATGCCTGTGTTGTGAACGCAAGAATTACAGAGGAGTCCACAGACAAACAGTGACAGTCGTCTCTGTGTAAGCCGTTTTATTAGGAACAAAAATGTTCTAAAACCAGTTTTCGCTTGTCTTCTCCCCCTCGCCCCACCCCCTCGCAGGCGCAAAGCAAACCGATGCATCTGAAAGTTGGTATCTTACAGCAGAAGAATTTGAAGTGTGGAATAGATCGTATAGAGTGAAAGCTGAGGATGGACTCAAACAACCAGTAATGCCTCCGTCCAGTTTTGAAACACTAGAAGATGGGGAGAAGAAAACGGTGAGTTGAACTCTGATGGATCCTTCTGACATGTGAGTACATTCTCGTCTAAAGCAGGGCTGTCATAGGAGACGCTCCTCAGCCAGGAGGAACACTGGCTTCGTTTAGATCATGGGGCTACAGCAAAGCGCAGGAGTTGGGTGAAATTGCCTGCCTCTCTGCTTGTGAGATCCAAACTGCTGATCGGCAGCCGGGGTCAGGCACGCGTCGAATCCTCGTTAATGTCTGGATGCGTCTTAAAGAGGGGTCTGAAAATGAGCAGCATCAAAAATGGTCCAGAAAAATGAATGGCTCGTGTTGATTTTGAACCTCTGTTCAAGGGAAGGCTGGTCAGAGAATTCTCACAGCCGTGAGGCCGCCACAATAAATACTGGTGGGCATCTGTGTTCCCTCTAAGGTGAGTTAGTGTGAGCTAGTTCACAGGGTTTTTAACTTCCGGCTCACACATTTTTGTCTCAGCTCAGGAAGGGATGGCTCAAAAGCAAACTGATTTATGCAGGAGCCAAATCGCTTGCTCACAACTTTAATGCCCGGAGGTCACAGAGTAGAATTTTTGCTCACGTTGCTAGCAATGAACCGTGCAATAAAACTGAGTCACACAATCAAGCCACACTGAAATAGAAATATCACATAAACTGTTGTTCTTTTCACTCATGTGAGACTCGAGGCCGTTTGTCTCTTGCCAGCTGAGAACTGATTATCGCCTCTGTGTTTGAAATCCCAGGACTTGCAGCAAGCCGGAGAGGTCCGTGAGCTGTCTCTGACCGAATGGAGACTCTGGCAGAACCGTCCTTTCCCTACTTGCAGCAAGCCGGAGAGGTCCGTGAGCTGTCTCTGACCGAATGGAGACTCTGGCAGAACCGTCCTGTCCCTACTCACTTGGTGGATCACTCGGATCGCTGCCTCAACTTCATTAGCAGTATGGAAACGATAGAGCAGATGAGATACGAAGAGGTAGGTCCAGCTGTGCGTAGAGCCGCCAGCCTGTTAGCCGAATTGCTCCTTAAGGGAAACAACCGGTACAGTTATTATTATTATCGGGATTCTTCCGTCTATGTTTACGGAGGATGGCACTGTTTCCGAGGTTCCCAAATGAAGGACTGAGGCAAACGTTGTTGTTGTTGTTGTTGTTGTTATTAATAATAATAATAATAATTTACTGACACACTTCACTCAATAACATACAACAATCACAGCACACAAGACTAAGAAATTAAGATAGAATAATACAACACAGTTATGGTGGTTGATGCTCTGGGTTATAATTAACTAGCTGCAACTGCGTGGCTCCAAACTTCCAGCGAAGGGGTAAGGATGGGGAGAAAATTAGAAAAGAATGGCGAATGGACTCAGACCAGCTAAGACCACGTGCCAAAGAGACTCTAGCTTCAGTTCTAGAGTATAAAGAAGGACGGGTAGGATATGGGATAGCAAGCTGGGCTTAAGAGGAAAAGCAGGTTTTGTAGAGGGCGTCGTTTGAGAGCGATGGGGGGTTTCCAGGATCCGTAACAAGAGGTCAAGAAGAGAAGGGCGAGAGAGCAAGAACTTAAGAGAGCGGGCTTTGGGTGCGCTCCTGATTATATCAAAAGTGGTCTAGAGGAGGAGCTGGGTCCAGGGGTCCTCCCCTATGACACTGTGTTCCTGCATAGCCAAGAAGTTAGCGATTGGCTACTGTATTTTTCTGGGTGGGCCAAGAAACTGGAGGGCAATTTGAGATCTAGTTGCTAACTCAATCAAGACACCTGGGCTAGGGGTATTCTTATGCAGAAGGGTGACTCATGTCCATGTGGCCAGGCTGAATACCGGGTCTTTGTGAGTACATGCAGCTTCGTTGGTGCAAGGGGGAGGGGGCCCTGGAGGTAGGTGACCATGCGGCTGGTTTGAAATGGCGTTTTGTGCTTTCTGTGACCACGTGCGTTGTTCTATGGAGTGCACTAGACACGGGAACACCTCAGGAGTAGCAACCATTGGAAAACACGGTCTTCGGTAGGTACTCTCACCGGGCGCTCTCAGTCATGTCAGTTTCAGGCACAGTCCGTTGTTGGCACACTTCATCAGGTAACAACGTAACACAGTCCATAAAAACACCATAGCAGGCTTGCGGGCTAACAGGCCTCCTCGGTGAACAGGAATACTTGGAGTGAAGAGCAGGCTGGGGAGAAAATCCTCTGAAAGTCACTACGGCATTTCTGCTTGAACAGCCGTTTTAAGGTCCTCCATCACCAGTCATCATAAACATTACGGCTTCTTTTTTGTTTGTTTCCGTGTGAATCAGTATATCTACCTTGGACTTTGTTTGGCACATTGTCACCCAGTCCAGAGAGATCCTCCTGAAGCTCTTCGTAGTCAGCCTGGGTCTTACTGAGTAATTTTGTGCCGTCTGCAAACCTGGCCACTACGCTCCTCACCCCCTCTTTCAAGGTCATTGATGAACACATTAAATAGTACCGGCCACAATACCGATCCTTATGGGACCCCACTGCTTACTTTCCTCCGTTGCAAGGACTGTCCACTGATGCCTACTTTTTGCTTCCTGACATTTAACCAGTTTTTAACCCATAAGAGAACCCGTCCGCTTATCCCATGACTGCTAAGTTGACTCAGGAGTCTTTGGCGAGGTGCCATGGCAAAAGCCTTTGGGAAGCCGAAGTGTATGCCACATGCTTGTCCTGCTGAAAGAACCCCAGAAGGTTTTAGTGTAGTGGTGTGGCCAGTTTGGTGTCGTGGTTAAGTGCGCAGACTCTAATCTGGGAGAACTGGGTTTGATTCCCCACTCCTCCACATGCAGCTGCTGGCGTGACCTTGGGTCAGTTACAAGTTCTTTCAGAGCTGTTTTCTCAAGGGCGGTTCTCGAGAGAGCTCTCTCAGCCCCACCTACCTCACAGGGTGTCTGTTGTGGGGAGGGGAAGGGAAAGGAGTTTGTAAGCCACTCTGAGACTCTGAGTGAAGGGTGGGGTATAAATCCAGTCTCCTCTTCCTCTTCTTGGATTTGACACATCTTTCTTTTCTCTGTTCACATGGCACCACGGGCTCTGGCCGGTCACTGCTGGGCTGTGCATGCCTCTTGACAGTCACTTCCTTTTGTCAGGGTCAAACCCGCAGGACGCACTGAATGCAGGAGCTTGGGACTCGAGGCATTTGGCCGGACCACCCCTGCCCAGCTGTGGCGATACAAAAAGGAGGCTAGCCAGACTCACTAAACTCACTCAGATGCAGGACATTCTACTCTGTAATCCGATTAGCTACTTTTCTACTGAAGTAGTTTGTAAAACAACATCTTCACACACACACAAATCCTGTCACGAGCATAAAACGTCATAGTGTGTCCTGCCACTCATGCAAATGATGCAATCCCAGGAACTCCAAGTCCGTTTATCTCCGTCATTCCGGTCCAGGAGCACCTTGGGGACCCACAAGATTTCCGGGAGAGCCGTTTTCGCGAGCCAGCGCTCCCGTGGTCAGAGGGTCTTGGCCCAGTGCTGCTGGCCCAGAGGCCGGCTGTTCCACTGCAGACCAACACGGCTACCCGTTGAAGTTATCCATTAAGTCCTGCTCTGGCCAGGAGCTGCTCTTGGGGGTTTCAGGTAGAGAGAGAGAGAGGGTCTTTCCCAGCACCTGAGAACCTTTGACTGATGGGCGCAGGGATGCAGGTCGGGAGCTGCTGCATTAAAAAGCACAAACTGCTGACTAGCAGCCCTTCTTCCGAAAGCCATCCACGCCACTGTGGCAGTGAGTCCCGTACATGATGTTCTTATGAGAAGTGATTACTTGCATCTCTCTTTTTTACTTTGGACTTTCTAAAGGTCTAAGGTCGGAAAGGAAATCCCTTGGAGGAGGAGGAGGAGCAGGCGCTCTTTCCCCCCCAGTGCGCCCCCCCCCCATCTTGTCTAGATCCAGCTCTTAGCTGGTTCATTCTCTGCCACTTGACCGATCGGGAATGAGGGGTGAGGAGTGCAGTAGCCAAGTCTGCAGACGGCACCAAATTATTCAGGAGGGTGGCTGTGAAGAGCTCCAAGAGGACCTTCACGGACTGGGCAAGTGGGCGACCATGTGGGAAACGAAGTTCAATGTTGGTTAAGGACCCAGTTAGGGCTCTTTCTGTAGCAGGAGCTCCTTTGCATATTAGGCGACACACCCCTGATGTAGCCAATCCTCTGAGAGCTTACAGTAGCCCCTGTGAGAAGAGCTCTTTAAACTCTCGGAGGATTAGCGACATTAGGGGTGTGCCGCCTAATATGCAAAGGAGCTCCTGCTACAGAAAGAGCCCCGGTTAAGGTGATACACATTGGGACAAAAAAAGAATCCCAACTCCAAGCATAGGCGAATGGGGTCTGAATGTGCTGAGACTGGGAGGGGAGGGGGAAAGACCTCGGGGTCCTAGTGGAGAGCTCAATGAAGGTGTCCGCCCAGGGTGCCGCAGTGAAAAAGGCAACCTCTGTGTTAGAGACTATGAGGAAAGGGGTTGAGAGTAAAGCGGCTGATGCCCCCCGTATAGATCTATGGCGTGGCCTCATTTGGAGTACTGAACACAGTTCTGGTCACCGTATCTCAACGGGGAGAAGTGCGGAGCTGGGGAAAGCGCAGAGGGAGGAGGGCAACCGAGACGGTGAGGGGGTCGGAGCCCCTTCCCCAGGAGGAGAGGCCGAAGAGTCTGCTGGGACTTTGCAGTTCAGAAAAGAGATGACTAAGGGGGGGGGGGGACATGATAGAGGTTTACAAAATTATGCACGGGACGGAGAGAACCGACGAAGAGAAATTTTTCTCCCTCTCCCAAAGCACTAGACCTTGAGCGCATCCAGTGAACATCCCTTGAGACTCTTAAAATGTTAACGCTGCCCCATCTACTTATGGTTGCTTTGGTTGCAGCATTAACCCGTGAGGCTTTTCCTTCCAGGTGAGCCCAAAGTAAGGCAGGCCCTTGTGCCCCCCATCCTGCCGTCTCTCTCCCCTGGTTATGCTGGAAATGCTAGAGCTGCTCCGTGCGAATGTCCCCCTTTCTGCCAGGCCGTTCCTTTCCCTTCCCCCTGGAGTCTGAATCGTGGCTCCGCACGCCGAGTGCCCTGTGGCAGGCTTGCTCCTCAGGGGCACAGACGCTCCGGCACGGCCCTCGCTTTCTTCTCCCTGACCCACTTGTCTGGAGTGCTGCAGTCGGCCGAGGAGGGCCCGGCCCCAGATCCCCACGCTCCGTGGAGCTCGGTGGGTGGCCCTGGGCTAGTGGTTCTCTCCGCTTAACCTACCTCGCAGGGCGGTTCTGAGGATCAAACGGAGCGGGGAGGAGAACCCTGCGCACTTGTCTCGAGCCCCTTGGAGGAAGAAAATGTTGCAAAAACTTGAAAGGGTTAGTCGGTGCCAGTCTGGTGTCGTGGTTAAGTCAGCGGACTCTAATCTGGGAGAACCAGGTTTGATTCCCCACTCCTCCACTTGCACCTGGCTGGATGACCTCGGGCAAGCCATAGTTCTGACAAGAGCTGTTCTTGAAAAAGAGCAGTTTCTGTCAGAGCTCTCTCAGCCCCGCCTGCCTCACAGTGTGTCTGTTGTGGGGAGGGGAAGGGAAAGGAGACTGTAAGCCGCTCTGAGACTCCCTTGGGTAGTGAAGGGCCATGGGGTATAAATCCAATCTCCTCTTCTTCCTCCCCCCCCTCCCCTCCCTTCCAGCTGGGAGAAGGAGCCTCTTCTTATCCTGTCCAAGCAAAGGGGCCTGGGGGAATCAGAAGTGGCCGTTTAACCCTTGGGAAGTCAGTCTGAAGATCCATACTCAAGTGTCCTGGTGTGGCCCAAATGCCTGGTGTTTCTCCTGAGTTAAATTGGAGAGGGCTTGTACAAAAGGATATTTCCAAACAGGCAAGGCCCTTCAAAGTTATGTCATCAAACAATGAAGAAAAATGTCTCTTAGACCTTTTTACCACTTTGAGAAGGGTTCAGGGTTTACTTCCCATTTTTACCATTTCGGGAAGCACTGCTCGTTCTAATCCGGACAAAACACAGACGAAGCAGGGGGTTCCTTTCAGCCAAGGCCTGAAAATAAGGTGATCTGCCAACCTGGTCAGTCAAAAAATGACTGATACATATTTACTTTCAACATACTTAACTAGTACTACACCTCTCTCTCCAATGGAGACTCCAAGCAGCTCACATCATTCTCCTCCCCTCCATTTTATCCTCACAACAACCCTGTGAGGTGGGCGAGGCTGAGAACGTGTGACCAGCCCGAGGTCACCCAGCGAGCTTTCGTGGCCCAAGTGGGGATTCAAACCTGGGTCTCCCAGATCTCAGGCTGCCCCTGTAACCACGACACCAGACTAGCTGTGAGGTTTAGTACAGATTGCACGGGCCTCTTCCCTTTGGTAAGGGAGGTGGGTTGTGTGACCCTCTCCGGTATCCTCCGGTCTGGATCACTAAAGGGCTCGGAGACTGAGAGTCCCTATCTATCCCTTGTGGCTAAGAGCCACTGATGGACCTCTGCTCCATATGCTTATCTAATTCCCTTTTGAAGCCGTCCATGCTTGTAGCCGCCACCACTTCCTGTGGCAGTGAATTCCATGTGTTCATCACTCTTTGGGTGAAGAAGAACTTCCTTTTATCCGTTCTAACCCGACCGCTCAGCAATTTCATGGAGTGCCCACGAGTTCTTGTAGAAGCCCTCCCACCGTTGCCCCCCCCAAAGCACCAAGAATACAGAGCATCCCTTGCCCCAGACTGAAAGTTTCTATCGATATCTTGTGGCAAATAGCCACTGATGGACCTCTGCTCCATATGTTCATCCAATTCCCTCTAATAAGAACACAAGAGAAGCCGGTGTTGGATCAGGCCAGTGGCCCATCTAGTCCAACACTCAGTCACATGGTGGCCAAAGATACCAGGTGCCATCAGCCAGGACACTAGAAGCCCTCCCACTGTTGCCCCCCCCCCCGGGCCCAAAATACAGAGCATCCCTTGCCCCAGACCGAGAGCGGCTAACAGCCCCTGATGGACCTCTGCTTTAGGTGTTTCTCATAAGAACATAAGAGAGAAGCCAGTGCTGGATCAGGCCAATGGCCCATCCAGCAACAGTGGCCAAAAATACCAGGTGCCCTCAGGAGGTCCAGCAGTGGGGCCAGGACACTAGAAGCCCTCCCACTGTTTCCCCCCCCAGCACCAAGAATACAGAGTATCACTTGCCCCAGACTGAGAGTTCCTATCTGTACCTTGTGGCTAACAAACATTTTGCTGCTAGTACCATCGTACCATCACTATTTTACCATCATTGCCAACTGGCCCTGGGAAGAGAGAAGGACAGTGTCACGTGGCACTGACAGCACTGAGTGGGTGCACCATCTCTGAGACGTCATCTTTATGGAAGGTGATTCTGGAACATCTAGAGCACTTAATATGTCGTAACATTGTAGTGATGGTTTTATATGGTTTTAACCTGTTTTTATGTGTTGGCTTACGCCTATCTGTGAGCCGCCCTTATTTATAAAATATAAATAAGTCGTACCTGTTCAAATCCTGCTTCACACTGGAATTCCTCTCCAGAGGATGGCTACACAGTTTGGTGTAGTGGTTAAGTGTGCAGACTTTAATCTGGGAGAACCGGGTTTGATTCCCCACTCGTCCACATGCACCTGGCTGGATGACCTTGGGTCAGTCACAAGCTCTGGCACAGCTGTTCCTGAAAGAGCAGTTTGTGTCAGAGTTCTCTCAGCCCCACCCACCTCACAGGGTGTCTGTTGTGGGGAGGGGAAGGGAAGGGAGTTTGTAAGCCGCTCTGAGACTCCAAGTGAAGGGCCACGGGGTATAGCTCCAATCTCCTCCTCTTCTTCTTCTTCCTGCTTGCCCCTCCCATCTAGTTATAGAACGGAACACAGGTTCTCACAGTGAGCCAATGACCACATTCTTGAATTTGGCTTTAAGGAAAGAAGGACGGTGTACGGACACCTGTGAGCCAGAGCAGGCCTGCTAATATTCACGTTAACCCTTGGGGGGGGGGGGATCAGGGTGCTGTGGTTAGCTAACCTTGGGTTGATCAAAGCTGTCTGTAAAGTCTTCATTCAGCCTTTGGTTTTTATTGCAGAATGCACCGGGGGGGGGGGGTCAGGCTGAGGTGGCCTTTCCTGGGACACAGAGGACTAGGGCTGATTGAGCAGTTCTAGACAAGTTCTGACTTTTGTCTGCCTGCAGTAAAGCAGGAAATGAATGGCCTGGCAGCTGCAGTGGTTGACAGGTTCATGGCGGTCCAACCTGTACATGCCAGCATGTGTAAAAAAAACCCTGATTACTTTTTCTTTATTATTATTATTGTTGTTGTTATTTGAACCAGGGGGATTGTAGCTACGAACTGAGAATCCAGCCTTATTTTCACCCGGAAGATGTCGACGCCTCAGTCCTGAAGAGGAGTAAAAGTGTTCTTGATTCCTTAGCGGCTCCAAAGGCTTCCTTGTCCCGAAAAGCCCTGGGGGCAGCCTCCAAGGCGGACCCCTGCTCCTCCTCGCAGCATCTGGATGCAGAAGGCTGGCCTCTTTTCAAAGCAGCCCCCGTCCATTCTACTAAGCGGCCCCCAGCACCAAGGGCAGAGGTCGAGGGTCACAGCAAAGAGAGGGGCAGTCCTTCAGGCCTCCTGCTGCTGCTGGACGAAGACCCTGGCCCTGAGGCTTGGCCAGAGGGAAGCGAGGACCGTGGCGGGATGAGTGCAAGTGTCGCAAGAGACTCGCCACGGGCGGTTAAAGGCTGCAAATCAGGGGACGGCCTCAGTGTCGAGTCCGACTCCGGTTGCTTCTCAGAAGACAACTTGCCGCGTCCGTCTTCTCTGTTTTACCTTCCTGCACTAGAGAAGGACTCGCTCGCGCTCCCCGTCCCCTGTGCTGGGGAGGACCCCTCTTGCGGAAGAGAGGCCCTGCTAAGTGCAGCCAGGCTTCTCTCGCAGTCCCCTCCCTCTCTGAACCAACTCTTTGAATCCGAGGAAGCCAGCGCGTGTGCGGACAGGTATCCTCCGGCAAAACTGGCGACCTCCCCGGAGTCCCAGAGGCCGTCCGTGACATCCCAGAGCACCTCTGAGCTCCCCGGCTTCCCAAAACCGTCTCCCGTGAGTAACTGTGTTCTCGAGGCCTCTGTTGGCAATAATAATGATGACCTGGCCTGGGATGAGGTTTTCGATAGCAATGATGAAGTGCAGATTGGAACTGAAAGACGGGATTCGCCAGTGACCTCACGTGATCTGGCAGTGAGCTCTCTGCGAAGGGATGCGGTGGGGGGGAGAGAGGCCTCCTGTGAAAATCCAGGCGGAAATAGGAGCCCTGGTGAAGAACAAGGGTCTGGACTGTTGTTCCGAAGGGAGCACGCTTCTACGAGGAGCAGTCTATCGGAGGGGAAGGGCAGGAAGCGCTCAGGGCAACGGGGCTTGTGCAGCCAAGCCAGTACTCCGGCTGAAGATCCGGGAACCTCTCAGCGGCAGCCTTCCAGTGAGTGTGTCACAGACGGTCTTGGAGACCCTGTTAGTTCATTATTAAGACATCAGGACCAAGCTTTGGAAGCAGCTGATGATGCAGGGGAAGGAGCTCTGCCGCCCGAAGAGCCGTATGACGTCTCTCAGGAGTTGTTCTCCGTTAACTTTGACCTTGGATTTTCTCTCCAAGAATCCGAGGACGAAGATGCGGAGCCAGCAGGCCCCAAGGAAGATAACGGGAGTCACATCGCTGACGGTTCTCCGTCCAACGGCACGTCAGCAAGGGAATCTCCGTTGCCCTGGAGTCCCAGCTCTTTGGAAAGGCCGAAGGTTTCTACACCGGCACCCTCGCAGAACCCGAACTGTGGTCTAACGAGGACTGCAGATGTCATTCCGGGGGCTTCTCCTTGGACTCCAGCAGGAGACACACTGTGCCGATCACCAGGCCCTGCGAGATGTGGATTTTCTACCCCCAAAAGCGGACGAATGATGAACTCCCCCGTATCCAGAGGGGCCAAGCTGAACTGCTTCTTTGGAAACAGGCTGGGAAGCCCACGGGGGGCCGTCCCAAGCAAAGCAGGAACCGAGACTGTTAAAAAGCCCGCGGCAAAGCCCACTGACGGTATCGAGGGTTTTGCTTCACAAGGCACTGGAAGTGGGGAGTGCAAAAACCGAAAGAGCCACGACCTGATTTCTGCTGAAGGTAATATTCCAGTGGGTTGGGGACGAGGGATAGTGCAGACTGGACCAAGGCTCCCTCTAAGCTGTGGAGTCCTGTGAGCAAAAATTCTACTTGGTGAGCTCCTGGCATTAAAGTTGTGAGCGAGCGAGTTGGCTGCTGCATGAATTAATTTGCTCTGGAGCCCTCCTTCCTGAGCTAAGACAAAAATCTGTGAGCCGGAGGCTAACAAACTGTGAGCTAGCTCACACTAACTCAGCTTAGAGGGAACACTGGACTGGACTGCTGCCGCTGCCTGCTCCCTACAGGCTTTGGTATGCAGGCGAAAGTCAGCAGTTGGGGGCTTTTTATGACTCAGAAAGGGGGGGGGTATTCTGTTCTGTCAGCGGGAAGTGCCGTCAAGTCACAGCCGACTTATGTAGACTCCATGGTGGGGTTTTCAAGGCAAGGGATGTTCAGAGGTGGTTGGAACACACCCATGAACACGCATGAAGCTGTCTTCTTCTGAATCAGATCCCTCCGGGTCCATCAAAGTCAGTATCGAGGATGGCAGGGACTCTCCAGGGTCTCAAGCAGAGGTCTTTTACTTCACCTACTGCCTGATCCTTTTTACTGGAGATTCCAGGGAATGAACCTGCAGCCTTCTGCATGCCAAGCACAGGCTCTGTCAATGAGCCATGGTTTGCCATTGCCTGCCTCGATACAGCGACCCTGGTCTCCCATCCACTACTAACCAGGGCCAACCCTGCTTAGCTTCCCAAGATCTGGCGAGATCAGGCTGGCCTTACAGTAAATACGGTATATAAAATACAGTAAATACTGTATATAAAAAGTCCAACCTAGCCACGAATCTGTCCCCTTGGGAGTAACATAGGCCTCCTCTGACATAATCTTATTTGTGTTGCAGTTCCTGTACTTTAATAACCCATACCCTTTGTGGCGGAACATGTGTGCTCTGGCCTGCAGGCCCTATTCCGCCCTGCCTTCCAAGGTTTTTCTCAAGACCTGGAGAGGCACCTCTCTCTCTCTCTCTCTCTCTCGTAACTTGCCACCAGCATTGGACATTTGTACGGAATTGCCTGCTGAGAGGGTCAGGGCTCTCAGCTTCCCTTCCAAGGTCTGAGGCCTTATCTCTGTGTCTCCTGCTGCCTAGTGCCTGGTCACCACAGGGACAGTTTACTGCCTTGCGCACTCCTGGAAGAATAGCCTCTTGCCAACTGCCTGCTTTCCCCCGGTGTTCCTTTTAAAATAGCATGTCCAAGACGGTGGAGGTCTGTGTGGTACAGAGAACCACTACCAGCATCAAAAATTATAAAGTATTTATTAAAAAGAGAATATTTACAAGCATACTTTTAGCGCAGCACCAGACTGGGGGTGGGGGGGTAAAATGCAAATCCTCTGTCTCTCTCTCTATACAAGTCCTATCAGACTGCTTTACCTTAGATAGTTACAAATCCCTACCAAGTACCATTACCTTGAAGTTCCCTCCAGCTCTTTAGGCCAGCGTGTGGTCAAAAATGGCTGCCTTCCCAGAGGAGAGGTCTGCGTCCTCTCATGGACTCAGCATCCCAGGAAAAAGGACCTCCTTCCAGTTGCAAGGAGTTGTGGAACAGAGGTCGACTGACAGCTGTCAGCCACAAGGGATAGAGGGAACACTCTGTCTGGGGCAGTGGCGCTCTGTCTTCTTGGTGTTTGGAGGGCCACAGGGGGAGGGCTTCTGGAGTTCTGGCCTCACTGGTGGGCCTCCTGATGGCCCCTAGGTTTTGGCCACTGTGTGACACAGAGTGTGGGAGCCAACATGGCTTCTGTGATTTTCTTACCCCGACATCGAGTTGGTCTCTCTCTCTCGTGTGCTCCTGGACTCTAATCCAGCTGTTCTCCTGCCGACCACCATGGCTCCCCCCTCTGAAACGAACCTGATGTCAGGGTCCATAATCAGGTCACGCAACACAGGGCTTCATAAGAAGATAACTGTTTATTGGTAAATCCAGTAATAGAGACACGTGTACAGCTTGTGTCAGGAATGGTTATACTAGAATCAAACATCCCCCCCCCCCGGAAAGCATGAGCCAATGGATACATCTCGCGCGGGCGGGCCAAGCAAGTGAGCAAAGCAAAAAAGCCGTTAACTTTCCCAGCCGAGTAAACTGCAGCTGGAGCATCTACAAGGTCGAGCATAAGATAGCAAACAGTTAGTGAGCCAGGGAGAGCTGAGACAGAAAACGGGAGGGCACCACCTCCACATTCCAGACCCATGACGGGGCTACCTGACACCTGATTTGTGAGGCAGTTCAGCCAAGCACGTCATGCCTGGACACGCTGGAGGGTGTCGGATAGGGGCCGCTGTCACCAGACTTTTTGTGTCCTTCCAGAAACAGTCACAGCAGATGGTGGACACGACTGTCAGTGGCTCAGGTTAGGCATCCACAAGGCGCATTGAAAGTGAAAAGAAGGAGGATGACCCTCGAGAACCGGAGAGGCTTTTGAAGCCCTTCCCTAATCTCCTCAGCACCTGGTCTGGGATTGGCCTTGTCTCTTGTATCCCAATCTCATTTCTTGCACCTTCAATCTTTTACCAAGTTATACTCATTAGAAATCATAGTGTCACTGAGCTAGTAGGGCATAGCAACAGGCCTCATCGTTGCTCTGCGTGTGTGTTTGTGTGTCTGTACACAAAGAAATGCACAAATGAAGAAGAAGTAGAGATTGGATTTATACCCCACGGCCCTTCACTACCCAAGGGAGTCTCAGAGCGGCTTCCCCTCCCCACAACAGGCACCCTGCGAGGTAAGAGGGGCTGGGAGAGCTCTGACGGAAACGGCTCTTTTTCAAGAACAGCTCTTTTCAGAACTAGGGCTTGCCCAAGGTCATCCAGCCAGGTGCAAGTGGAGGAGGAGTGGGGAATCAAACCCGGTTCTCCCAGATTAGAGTCTGCGCACTTAACCACTACACCAAACTGGCTCTTGTGGCAAACCTTCTGAAACTGTACCTATAAAGACCTTCAGCCAAAGACCTGCTGCTTTGAATCTGTATGTGAGGTGCAGCTTTCTCTGCCCATGTCTGGGCCCGGCTGCCACGTTTCCTGAAACCAGGGGTATGCGCCAAAAAAGAGGAGGGGGGGGGGGGGGAAGGTAAGAGAAAATGTGATGGGAAGGGAAAAAATTGTGCCAGGTGGAGATGCTGCTTGTACCCAGTGTTCCCTCTAAGCTGAGCTAGTGTGAACCAGCTCCCAGTTTCTTGCCTCCGGCTCTCACATTTTTGTCTCAGCTCAGGAAGGATGGCTCCAGAGCAAACTAATTTATGCAGTAGGCAGATCGCTCGCTCACAACTTTAATGCCAGTAGCTCACAAAGCAGAATTTTTGCTCTCAAGCCTCCACAGCTTACAGGGAGCATTGCTTGTACCTGCTGTAGTTTGCGGAGCTTGCACTTGAGAAATGAGGGTTCTTCTGCTTGAAAGGAAAACCTGCGGGGCTTCAAGAGCCAGCAAGCAGGTCGTCCTCTGAGCCCTTCTCTCCTGCTGCCTTTGTGCGCGGGATCACTCTCTGCTTAGCTCAGCAAAGGGGCTGCACCTTGCTGTGTTCCTCTGGCAGGAAATACCGCGTGAGCCGTCAGGGGCAAGCCCTGCTGTGTGACCAGCCGTGCTAGCAGCGTATGCCAACAAGGAATTGCTTTTTGGAAAGCCCAGCCTGGTCTTTTTCGGCTGACTTACAAACCACGGTGTTTGGAACATCTCACTTGCTTCTCGTTCCCTGTTTCCTCCTCCGCAGCGGGAGCCAGCAGCGGGAGTGAAGATGAAGTCATTTTTATCGGGAAAAGGAAAAGAAATGTTTTGATGTCGCCAAATGTGAGTCATTCGCTTAAAATTTAAATGCCACCAAACCTCCAACAAAACTTCTCTCTGGAATTCCCAAACGCATTTCTAAATCTCTTTTCCCTTTCCCTAAGATTAATAACAGCTCTGAGGTTGACTCTCCAGTTCATGTTGTCAGAAAACGAAGACGTCCACTCAATGCAGTAAGTAGCTTTGTTAGCCGGTGGGGAAATAATTGCTTTCAAACATTTTGCTCAGCTTAACCAAAAGGTCAGATATTTTCCCGTACCCTTTGGAGCAACTTTATCTGCAGAAGGGCTGGTTAGATTGCTAATGTGGCAGGACCACATTTTAATCAACTGTTCGTCCTATTTGTTTCTGTTGCCCCATGACCGATAAACTTACTCAGGAGTCCTGGGTCAGGTACCTTATCAAAAGCCCTTTAGAAGTTCAAGTATGTAATGTCTGCTGGATCACCCTTGTCCAAATGCTTGTTAACCTCCTGAAAGAACTCCAGAACAGTTCATTTAGTTTCTCTGCAGCTTCATGCATTCATCTTACCATCTTCCTTAAGCAATCCCTTCACCCCTTTGTCATCCAGTGACCCAAACGCCTCCCTCATGAGTTTCCTGCTGTCAGTTATATTTGAGCATAAGAACATCAGAAGACGCCTGCTGGATCAGACCAGTGAGGGTCCATCTAGTCCAGCCTCCTGTCTCACACAGTGGCCAACTAGTTCCTCTGCAGGGCCAAAAACAGGGCAGAGAGGCCAAGGCCTTCCCCTGATCAGAACATCAGAAGAGCCCCACTGGATCAGACCAGTGAGGGTCCATCTAGTCCAGTCTCCTGTCTCACGCAGTGGCCAACCAGTTCCTCTGGAGGTCCAACAACAGGGCAGAGAGGCCGAGGCCTTCATTAGAACATCAGAAGAACCCTGCTGGATCAGACCAGTGGTCCACCTAGTCCAGCATCCTGTCTCACACAGTGGCCAACTAGTTCCTCTGGAGGTCCAACAACAGGGCAGAGAGGCCGAGGCCTTCATAAGAACATCAGAAGAGCCCTGCTGGATCAGACCAGTGAGGGTCCACCTAGTCCAGCATCCTGTTTCACACAGTGGCCAACCAGTTCCTCTGGATGGCCAATAGTAGGGCACAGAGGCTGAGACCTTCCCCTGATAAGAACATCAGAAGAGCCCTGCTGGATCAGACCAATGAAGGTCCACCTAGTCCAGCATCCTGTCCCACACAGTGGCCAACCAGTTCCTCTGGATGGCCTACAGCAGGGAACAGAGGCTGAGGCCTTCATAAGAACATCAGAAGAGGCCTACTGGATCAGACTAATAGTCCATCTAGTCCAGCATCCCGTCTCACGCAGTGACCAACCAGTTCCTCTGGAGGGCCAACAACAGGGCAGAGAGGCCGAGGCCTTCCCCTGATGTTTCCTCCTGGCTCTGGGATTCAGAGGACTAGTGCCTCTGAGTGTGGAGGTTCCCCTCGGTCACCATGCCCAGTAGCCGCCGATAGACCTCTCCTCCATGAATCTGTCTCATTCCCTTTTAAAGCTGTCTGTGCCCGTGGCCATCAAGACATCCTCTGGCAGCAAATCCCACATTTTAATTGCTTGCTGGGTAAAGAAGTCTTTCCTTTTGTCCATCCTGAACCTACTGCCCTTCAGCTTCATTGGATGCCCTCGAGGTCTAGTATTTTGGGAGAGAGAGAAAAAGTTCTCTTTGTGAACCTTCAATATAAACCTTTTTATATTTCCCCCCCCCCCCCTTAGTGATCTCTCTGTATATATAATTCTGTTTTGGTCATGGATTCTCCTGAACATTCCACACGCTCCCAAATCAGTTGGCTCCCTGATCTGTATTTCAGAGGGTATCCCTATCCACTGGCTGCGTTGCCTCAGTCCCGCCTCCAATATTCTAAACAGTTTGCTGTTCCTCTCCCCCCCATAGCCAGTTGGAACACAGAGGTCATTTGCATATGCGGCCTGATTGGCCTTTGCCTCTAGCCCAAAAGACATGGCATAGGAGGAGGTGCTTTTCTATCTTAGCTGCCACTGCATAGCCCCAAAGTAACATAAGCCAACCTCCAGGCAGCACCTGGAGATCTCCAGCTATTGAAACTGATGTCCAGATGACCAAGATCAGTTCTCCTGGAGACAATGGCTGCTTTGGGCAGTTACGGCCCTTTTGATACAACCCAAGACTGAATTTGCTTTTTGTTGCCGCCGCATCACACTGACTGCTCATATTCCGTTTACAGTCCACCCTTACCGCCAAGATCTCTTTCGCGTACACCACTCCCCAGAAATGTATCCCCCATCCAGTATTTGTGCTTGACGTTTTTTGTGGTTCGGTGTATAGCATAATTTGTAGACAGGTGAATGGACAGAGAGCCTCCAAGCCCAAACTGTTCTCCCTAGGACTGTGCCAGGAAACGGTCTATTTATTTTAATTTTATTTACATTATGAATAGCTCACCTTTCTCACGTGGACAGATAGATTACGTGGGGGGAGTCAGAACAATTCACAGGTTGGGACCAAAGTTCCCTCTAAGCTGAGGTAGTGTGAGCTAGCTCACAGTTTTTTAGCCTCCAGCTCACACGATTTTGTCTTAGCTCAGGAAGGACGGCTCCAGGGCAAACTAATTTATGCAGCTGCCAAATCACTCGCTCACAGCTTTAATGCCAACAGCTCACAAAGTAGAATTTTTGCTCACAAGACTCCACAGCTTAGAGGGAACATTGGATGGGACTCACCGGGACAGTGTGTGGAATGTGATGGAATAAAAATAGCGGTTATGCTTCTCATGTGAATTTTTATGCCTTACCAAATTGCCTGGGATCCTTTTCGGAATGATAAGTGAAAAAGACCAAAAAAAGCCGTGCTATACGCTATAAAAATATTATATTGTGATTATTTTTAACAATTACAAATGATCAGTGTATTAACAAACAGTTATAGCATCATAGCAGGAAGAAAGTCCAAGGTGTAGCATTTGAAGTTAACTAAGTTTTCCAGACTACCAAGCAATGCTCCCTCTAAGCTGTGGAATCTTGTGAGCAAAAATTCTACTTTCTGAGCTACTGGGATTAAAGTTGTGAGCGAGCCATTTGGCTACTGCATAATTTAGTTTGATCTGGAGCCAGCCTTCCTGAGCTAAGGCAAAAATGTGTGAGCCGGAGGCTAAAAAACTGTGAGCTAGCTCACACCGACTCAGCTTAGAGGGAACCCTGCTACCAAGTCGTTTCGAGAATCTTCCTCCAAACTGGACTGTCTCATATAGTTGTCTCCTGGTATCCATTCATTGTAGAGATAAAGTACTTTTAGAACCAATCTGTTCTATGTGGCGATTTCCGCATAATTCCTAAAGTGCAACTATGGTTGTAAACGGTCCATCTGGAAGGTGAGGTTAGAGCCTTTCCAACCATCAAAGCCGCACCCATGAAATGCTTGGAGCTGGCAGGGCCGGCTTCTTCATTCCAGCATTTGTGCCTCATTCCAGCTGGACTGGTCCAGCGACGAGAGCACGGGTTGTTCCCGGAAAGCCAACAGAACTGGTGCTGCAGAGAGCAGGAAGCCGGGCAGAGGGGTGAAGAGGCAGAAGCACTCGGACGGCAACACAATCAAGGTGAGTCTTGGCTGTTGTGAACCTTCCTGGTTCTGCTTCTGTGAACTGAGGAGAGGCCTATGAAATGCCATCTGGGGAAACGGGGGGCTGTCCTCACGGCAGGTGGGGCACGGGAAGGGTTCAGGGGCCGGCTGTAAACCTCGGACGGGGCCCTGCTCTGGGGCAGGGTGGAACCAAGTCTGAGTCCGGTGGCTGGGGGCAGGGAGAATCACACGGCCAATGGCCCCACTCCAAAGAAAAAGACGCTGCAGTTTTGCCTCCTTGCTTGAGAAGAGACAGGTAGTACCCAAAGATGGACTCTCACAAATAAGGATAAATCAGTCTCCAATTCTGACATATTTATTATCTTGGTTCTGTTCCTCTCCCCCCCACCCCCCAGTTGAACCCAAACAGACGACAGCCATGAACTAAGCTTATTATTCTTTTAATCTGTTAAGAACATCTTCGTTATTCTGCATGCTAATTCACTGCCCACCCTCTAGATGCATGGCTGTTATTTCTGTTTCCATTTCATTGTGTCTGGAGAAGTGTGTGCGTGCAACCAAAAGCTCACCTTGAATAAAACTGTGTCAGTCTTAAAGGCGCCCCTGGACTCGAACTCTGTCCTGCCGCTTCAGACCAGCACGGCTACCCACCAGATTCTATCTCCATTCCAGTTGACACACTGGGCAGCAGTGTTCCCTCTAAGCTGAGTTAGTGTGAGCTAGCTCACAGGTTTTTTAGCCTCCGGCTCACACATTTTTGTCTTAGCTCAGGAAGGATGGCTCCAGAGCAAACCAATGTATGCAGCAGCCAAATCGCTCGCTCACAACTTTAGTGCCAGTAGCTCACAAGGTAGAATTTTTGCGCACAAGACTCCACAGCTTGAAGGGAGCATTGCCGGGCGGCAGCCTTCGTTCTGACAGAGGGACCTTCCTCCACTTCAGTGGCTTTTCTGCTGGAGGAAGCCTTCTCACCTTGCTCCGTGGAGTGCTTTGTGGGGTGGAGGCCATTGTGGTTTGTAGCCCTTCTGCCAGGCTTGAAGTCTTCAGCCATCTTGGGCTACATCAAGATGGGTGGCCGTGTTCGTCTGTCTGTAGCAGGAGAAAAGAACCAGAGTCCAAGAGCACCTGAAAGACTAACAATGAGTGTGTCCAGAAGAGGGCAACCGGGATGGTGAGAGGGTTGGAATCCAAGTCTTACGAGGAAAGGCTGAAAGAGTTGGGTATGTTTAGCCTGGGAAAGAGAAGGCTTAGAGGGGACGTGATTTGCTGTCTTCAAGTATCTGTAGACAATGCAGCAGATCTATTCTCTCTTGCTCTGGATCGCAAGACTAGATCTAATGGGTGGGAATTACAAGGGAGTCGATACCGACGAAATATCAGGAGAAACTTCCTAAGTGTATGAGTGGTTGAGCAGTGGAGCAGTCTGCCTCGGGAGGTGGTGGATGCTCCTTCGCTGGGCATTTTCAAGCGAAGGCTGGGCGACCATCTTCCGGGTATGTTGTAGGGCTATCTTTCGGCTGTGCTCCTGCAGAGTGCAGGGGGTTGGACTAGATGACCTGTAAGGTCCCTTCCAACTCTGACATTCTATGATTCTATGATTTGTGGCAGGGGAGGAGCTTTTTTGAGTCACGTGGCTCACTTCTTCTGATATCTTGGGCTGACTCTGGGCCTTGTTGAAAGTGCATCTTGTACCCCTGGATCACCGTGAGAGCTGGCTGGAACTTTCTTGCCTTTATGCAGAATGCGGCCAAGCAGTTCCTGGATGAAGAGGCGGAGCTTTCTGACGAGGGCGGAGTGGAGGTTTCTTCTGACGAGGTGGATTCGGAGCAGGACCTGATGGGCTCCTCCCTCCATCAGTTTCTTGATGACGAGACGCAGATTATGCAAGACTTGAACGGTACGTGTGGAGGAGCTCTCAGCCTTTTCTGGGAAAGGGCCTTTATCTTGGGTCTTTATCTGGCTGTCGACAGGGGCAGCCGAGCCTGACGTCCTCTTGGGAAGCGGCGTGTCTTTTGCCCTCACCTGGAAGACCCAGGCCACCCCAACCTCATCCGATCTCGGAAGCGAAGCAGGGTTGGGCCTCATTAGTACGTGGATGGGAGACCACCAGGGAAGTCCAGGGTTGCTAAGGGGAGGTGGGGGATGGCAAGCCACCTCTGTTCATCTCCTGCCTTGACCTGGATGGGTTCAGGCCTCTGCCCCCTCTGGTCAGATCTCAGAAGCTCAGCAGGGCTGGCCTTGGTCAGTGCTTGGGTGGGAAGTCCACCAAGGAAGTCCAGGGTTGTGACGCAGAGGCAGGCGAGGGCAAACCTGCTCTGCTTGTGGCCTGACGGCACCTTCCTCCTCCACCACCACCACCACCAAGGGCAGCAGGTCCTACAGTGTAGTTTGCATAGACTAGAGGTTATTTGGTCCCGTGAAAGTATAGAGACTGAATGAGAGGCGGCCCCAGCATGTAATAACAGCACTGGGCAGAAGGCAAAGGAGGTTTACCCGGCAGAACATGATCACGTGACGCTGCTTTCCACTGAGTCAGTGATTGGTCCGTCGAGGTCAGTCTTGTCTCCTCTGATGGGTAGTGTCTTAGGCAGAGGCAGGTCTTTCCTGCAACCTATCGCTTGGCTCTTGTTTTTAACTGGAGATGCCGGGGACTGAACCTGGGACCTTCCGCATGCCAAGCAAGTGCTCTGCCACTGAGCCACAGCCCCTCTTTACAGCTCTCCAGGGTCTCAGGCGGAGGTCTTTCCCATCACCTCCTGCCTGGTCCTTTTAACTGGAGATGCCAGGGATCGAATCTGGGACCTTCCGCATGCAAAGCAGGTGCTCTGCCACGGAGCCACCAAGGCCCCTTTCTGTCGTCATGTGCTTCTGGCAGAGGATAGGCTTGGGGGTGGCAAGCCGGTATGTCTGAGCCACTTGGAAGAGAAGCTGAACAAGACGACTGACTGGGGATGTCTGCGCAAGGGCTGGAACCGGTGGCAGGGGAGGGGGGGGGACAACGGGGAGGCCTTGCGTCCAAGCCCAGCCTGAGGCCAAAAAGAGCCATGCTGGTGTACCGGGGCCTCACCCTGCCAGCGCCAGTGCCTTTGCCCACAGCCGTTCAGGAGCCGGGGGCTTCCTAGCAGCAGGCCTTGCTGGACTGCAGTGAGAAGTTTTTCCCCTTTGCCCCGGAGCATTTAGGGAGGTAGATTGGAATAAACCAATGGTGGGAGACGGGGCTTAGTACCTAGGAGATGAGAGGGCTGACTCGTGAGGATAGGTCCCTTCCTGAAGAAGCTTCCTTCCCACCCACCACAGATCTAAACAATCAAGAAAGATGCTTTGAGTTTGGGATTCGATTGCGTACAATATTTTCTAAGCCGTTTCCCGATGGAAATGGCTCAAGGCAGCCTGCAAGACGATCAACTCATCAGGAGAAAAGGCAGCCACAGGAAGCCTCGGGGAAGCCCCGGAGAGCAGAGAATGAAGCTGCCGGCCCGCTTCCCCGGGGAGGCCGTTGCGTAGAAGAAGATCCCCCCCACACACACACTGGAAAGGCCCAGTATGGCGTCCTTCCAGGTCCGTCTTCACAAGTGGATCCGGGAGGGGCCATGGCTCAGAGGCAGAGAGCACGTGCTTGGCATGCAGAAGGTCCCTGGCTCAGTTCCCAGCCTCTCCAGTTAAAATGATGAGGGGATGGGAAAGACATCTGCCTGGGACCCTGGTGTGTCGCACTAGAACACAGGTTCATTTAGGGCTCAGTGGCAGAACGGCTGCTTTGCAGGCTAAGGGCCCCTCGTCGTTCCATCCCCGGTTAAAAAGGGCCAGGCAGGAGGTGATGGGAAAGACCTCCGCCTGGGACTCCGCCGGAGAGCCACTGGCAGTCTGAGTGGGCGATACTGACTCTGGTGGGCCATATGTGGCATGTAGAAGGTCCCGGGTTCAATCCATGGCGGCCTCTCCAGTGTCGAGGACCAGGCAGTAGATGATGTGGGATGTGGAAGACTTCTCCTGCCCGAGACACCCTGGAGAGCTGCTGCCAGTCTGAGCAAACAATGCTGACCTTTCTGGACCAGGGGTTTGATCCAGTATGAGGCAGCTCCATGTGAACATGTACGGCCTGTAGGAGGCCCCAAGTTCAACCCCCCCCCCCCCCCCCGGTATCTTCAGCTAAGAGGACCAGGCAGTGGGTGATGTGAAGAACTTCCGCCTGAGAGACCCCGGAGAGCCCTCCGCCAGCCAGAGTAGACTGTCACGACCTCCGGGAAGTGGGGGTCTGATTGGGCGGAAGGCCACTTTGTGTGTTCTTGTGTGTGTTCCCCCCGCCCCGGGGGGGAGGAGTGAGCCCCTCCTGCCAGGCCGGGGGGGGCTCTTTGCATCGGGCCAGACAGGTGCCTGGTCTACCTGGGCCAAAGCGGGAGAGGCTGAAGTGATCCCCAGGAGGCTGCTGGGAAGGCCCTCCGTTGGCTGCCGCGGCACGCGGAGCGGCTCACCACGTGGGTCCCGCCCCTTGGCCCGGAGGAGGGCTCTGTTTCCCTGCCAGCCACAGAGGGCGGAAGGCAGCCGCTCCCCGTGGTGGGAACGGGCTTTGTCAGGGGCTCTGTTCTGCACCTGGAGAGTGCCGAAGGGCCTCTGTGGCTCTGTGACGCCGACGGCTGTGCTCAGGCCGGCCCTAAGCGAAGCACCTGTTGGCCTGGGGCCTCCGCTCTCCCTCCTCCGCCTGACTGCTTTTGCTCCCCTCTGTTCAGAGTCCGAGATGCAGGCCGTTTACCTGAAATCCGTGCGTAGCCCAGCCGTCAGCAACAGGCGGGGCAGGACAGTGCCGAAGCCGTACAACCCGGCAGCCATTTTCTCACAGGTAGGGCATCGGAAGAGGGGGCGGAGGGGGGGAGGCTGCACGGGACCCCGGATTTGCCCTCCTGAGGCACAAACATGGTGGGACGGCTGGTTTTTTTATCCCCCTTCTGAACCTGGTTGGTGCTGGAATTGGTTCCCTTTGGAGGCTCTGTTTAAGGGCTGATTTGTTTTTCTGGCTAAATTGACCCAGCTGGGCCCAACGTGTGGTTTTCACTTTGCATGTTTCTGTCAGAGAATAAATGGGGGCAGTTTAGTGGCGGCTCTTGTACTCATCATCAGAGCAGACCAGGAGCTCAGTGCTTGGAGCCCCAGAAATACCTCCTGTCCAGGAGCTCATTTCAGCATTTCAGAGGTTGCAGAAGCTCCCGTTGTAAACTTCTGGATTGCCCGGTTGGTGTAGTGGTCAAGAGCAGCAGGAGCCTAATCTGGGAGAGCCAGGTTTGATTCCTCACGCCACCTCCACATGCAGACAGCTGGGTGACTCTGGGCCAGTCACAAGTTCTCTCAGAGCTGTTCTCTCAAGGGGCAGTTCTCAGGAGAGCTCTCCCAGCCCCACCTGCCTCCCAGGGTGCCTGTTGTGGGGAGGGGAAGGGAAAGGGGTTTGTGAGCCGCTTTGAGACTCCTTCGGGTAGTGGAGGGCCATGGGGTATAGATCCAATCTCCTCTTCTTCTTCTTGACGTGCGGTCCGTGCCATTTTTTCCTAAAGTGCCAGAACTCCAGGCGGAACTGGACTGCCGCTTACTACCACAAAAGGCATTCCCGAATCCCTGTGAGATGCTGTAGACATCTGTAAAGAACAAAACAGTAGGGTCTTCTCAAGGGTAGCACCGTTCTGGGAGGAAGCAGTAAAAGGAAGCTTTCACAAGCTGCCAGTTCCGGAGGGTCAGTGGCGTCTGTGGCCCCAGGCCCTTGGGCTAGTCAAGCGGAGCGGCCTGCGGATCTTCATCCTTCTGCTTTCCGTCTTAGGACGAGTGCCAATAACTGCCTGGGTCCTACTCTCTTTCCAGGTCCCAGAGCCGGACGAGAGCTACTTAGAGGACAGCTTCTGTGTCCGGGAGGGCGAGGAGGAGGAGGAGGAGGTCCAACCCAAAGGCAGCTCGAGCGACGGGGAGGAGATCTGCCTCAACTTTGACCTGTTAGAGGAGGAGAGTTTTGCAGACGGGGGGAGGAAGCAGTACCGTACCCGGCGCAGGAGGAAGCTGAAGGAGGCCTGTGCAGAAAAGCCCCAGAATGCGCCACCCCTGCGGAAGAAGCCCTCCCGAGTTCAGATTTTGGACGATTCTAGTGAAGACGAAGGAAGGGCCAGTCCGGAGCCGCTGGTGGGATTGCCGCCCAACGTGGAACCCGGGGCTGCTTCTCGCTTAGCCCTGCCAAGGGCTTTGGACAGCTCCCTGCCCCGCAGGATTCCCACCCCAAAGAGCCGGATCCAGCCGCCCCAGGAGAGCAGAGCCCGGGGACTGCTAGCCCTGAAAGCGTCTGTGGCCGAAGAACTGGACTTCCGCCCTCCTCAGGACAAAGGCCCGGGCAGGTCTGAACTGCTCGGTCGGGACCTCCGAAGTACACTCCAGGTACGTCCTCCCCCCATCTCGGGTGCCTGCGGCACGGCTAGCACGGTGGGGTCAAAGAGCAAGGAAGGTTGGATCCCCTTGCCCGGGGGCTGGGTGCCTCACTTCCTCACAGCACCCCTGGCAGCCGGTTGCTCAGAGCCAGTTTGGTGTGTAGTGGTTAGGAGCGAGCGCGGACTCTAATCTGGGAGAACCGGGTTTGATTCCCTACTCCTCCACGTGCAGCTGCTGGATGACCTTGGGTCAGTTACAAGTTCTTTCACCGCTGTGCTCTCAGGGGCAGTTCTCAAAAGAGCTCTCTCAGCCCCACCCACCTCACAGGGTGTCTGTTGTGGGGAGGGGAAGGGAAAGGAGTTTGTAAGCTGCTCTGAGACACTAAGTGAAGGGCAGGGTATAAATCCAATCTCTTCTCTTCTTCCTGGGTGGGGAATTTCGGAGAAGGAGGTTCACGACCTCCCAAGATGCTTTGCAGATTTACTAATGGTTTAGGGGGGGGGAATGGATACGCTGCCCCTGCAGACGCCTGGTTGTGGCAGCTCACAAAGAAAAGTGTGGTAAAAACCATTAAAAACAAGTCATAAGAAGGATAAATCTCAACAAACAGTTAGAAACTTGGCCAGGGGCACAGAAACGGCACAGATTTTTATTTTTTTTATTTATTATTCAATTTATACCCCGCCTTCCCCACAAAGGGCTCAGGGTGGCTTACAGATAGGGCACTTTGTGCCAATAAATAGACAGAATAAAACAAGATCATTAAGAAGTGATCTAAGAAGTTACACTAATCAAAAAGATGGTATTCAGTTGATGATGTTCAGATGATATTGTCTGTATCCCAGAACAACCGTACTGGTCCACCGCGCCACTGCAGTATGATCTTCCAGGGCCATTCCGTTCCCAGTTGTTTGAGGGATCGTTGGTGGCAGTGGCGGCTCCTACTCAAAAGCCTGGCGGAAGAGCTCCGTCTTGCAGGCCCTGCGGAACTGTGCCAAGTCCCGCAGGGCCCTGATCTCCTCCGGGAGCTCATTCCACCAGGTAGGAGCCTCCACCGAAAAGGCCCTGGCCCTGGTTGCCACGAGCCGGGCCTCCCTGGGGCCTGGGGTTACCAGGCGGTGTTGTGCCCCGGACCGAAGTGCTCTCTGGGGTATGTACGGGGAAAGGCGGTCCCTTAGGTTTGTTGGACCCTGGCCATTTAGGGCTTTAAAGGTGAGCACCAGCCCTTTGAAGCGAATCCGGAACGCTGTTGGCAGCCAGTGCAGCGCTTTCAGCACAGGCCGGATGTGCTCTCCTCGGGGGATGCCCATCAGCAGCCTGGAATGAAGGTTATGAAAAAATCGTCTCAGGTTTGAAGGCAGCGATAAAAAGACGCTGCTAAAGACTCAGTCCCTGGGGCGGGAAGGGACATTTTGTCCCATTGCCTGGAAGAGGGCGGGGCAGGTGGGCCACAGGGGGGAAGGGGGGGGAAAGGCCACAAAGTCGCAGCCGGCTTACGGCCCCACCCCTCATGGGGTTTTCGAGGCAATAGATGGTCAGGGGTGACTTCTGGGCGTGGAACAGCAGAGTCACTGCAGGTTTGGAGGGGGAGGTACGCCCCGCCCCGCCCACTTCCTAAAACCACTTTTGGCAGAGCCGGCGTAGAGGCCGGGCCCCCTCTCAGACACTTCCGTCTTCTGTGCAGGTTCTGAAGGGCGAATCCAACTCCCAGCCGTGGCCAGAAGCCAGCAGAGGCTCTCCGGGAAGTGTCCCGAAGGGCCAATGCTGAACAGGCCCCTTCTGTAGGCCGGGGGGCACCCCTGGAATCCTGGCCCCAGGCAGTGGGCACAGTCACACAGCGGCTGCCACAGGAGGCGGGGTCAGTCACAAAACGGCTGCCGGGAGAGGTTGAGGCAGCCGCAGAATGCCTGGGAGCCAGGCTGTACGTCACTCTGAACAGTAACTTTTAGTCGTTGGAGATTTTCCGGGTTGTGTGGCCGTGGTCTTGGCATTGTAGGGCCTGACAATTTCCCCTGCAGCTGAGACTGGCATCCGAGGTCTAACACAGAAAGATGGGGGACTCTCTGTGTCAAGATGAGAAGGAAATGGTAGGCAGAAGGTGGAGTAGGGCTGAGTCGTTATCTTGTAGGAGTTCCCCAGGCTGTGAACATGCTAATGGAGGAGCTTTCCTGAGGAGGTTCTTTTGTATGTGGATGGGCTGTTGAAATTCTAAACTTATCTGTAGCGCTGTTGTAAGATGTGGAGCATTTTGTGTTTTTAATAGTGACTCTTCGCCTTTTCCAGCAGAAGCTCTGTTTAGCAGGATGGCTTTTGATTTGCATAGCCAATCAGAAGCCCTGTTGGGCAAATGCCCCATCCAGCCCCGCCCACTTCCTAAAACCACCTGGCAGGTGCCCTGGTGCCCCCCGCGGGCTCCATGTTGGAGACCCCTGCTGTGGCTGTTGTCTGATCCAAGCATGGGTAGTGATGCGGTGCTGTGATATCTTCAGCCAGGAGAGTCTTCGGAGCTGCCGGCCGCCCCCCGCCCCGCTCCACGGCTGCCCCCGCCGGGCTCCCCGGGGAAACCAGCGCCCCTCTGCATCCTGGCGGACAGCCGAGAGATCTCCTCGGGGCCCGACGTGATCTCCGCCCTGAAGGCCCTCCACGGCGTCAAGGTCCAGGTGTGCTCGCTGGGCAGCTGCGATTACATTGTCAGCAGCCGGCTGGCGGTGGAGAGGAAGTGCCAGGCAGAGCTGCTGAACGGGGCACAGCGGAGCAAGGCGGCCCAGCGGGTGCAGCAGCTGAGGAGCAAGTTCGACCGGGTCTGCGTGATCCTCGAGAAGGAGAGAGCCCGGGCAGGTGGGTGCCGGGGCCCGGCCTGCCCTTACACAGGCTCACAAAGGGGAAGGGGACTGTCTGCTTATCTACGCTCGGCAGGGGTTATTTCGTGGGAAAAGAGGTGCAGGGGCTCATTAGAATCACTCATTAGCATCACTCATTTGCATATGCCACACCCCCTGACGGCACCGGAAGTGTGTCAGAAGGCAACACCCACTGCTCAGGCTCCACTGGACTGTTTTGGATGGCTAGCTATTTTTTTTGGGGGGGGGAACATGCAGATCTGCCCTCGCAGAGGAGGGAGGGCTTGTACCTGAACAAAACTTGGTCTTGAAGGTGCCACTAGACTGTTTTGGATTGCTAGCTATTGGGGGGGACGGACGTGCAGATCTGTCTGGGAATGTGCAGATCTGCCCTCACAGAGGAGGGAGAGCTTGTACCTGAATAAAACTGGGTCTTAAAGGTGCCACTGGACTGTTTTGGGCCCGGGGGAGCTCTGCAACTTACCTGGCTGCTTCTTGCTCTGACTGAGGGCTGCTGGGAGCAGGGGGGGGGGCTTGTTGCATGTGCCCACCCCCTGGGCTCTTTACTGCCGGAGCTCCGCTCCTGTGCGCTCCTGCAGGAAATGACCCCTGATGCTATGTATAATCCACCAGTCTCCCTGAGATGCCAGGCAGATGACACAGAACAAGTCAGTACAGCTCAACCCCCGTCAGAAGTGTGGAGCATGATGTCATCCTTCAGGGCTTCCGCCTTCCCATCCAGCATGACTTCTGTCATTAGATAAACGTATGGAGCAGAGGTCCCTCAGGGGCTATGAGCCGCAAGGTCTAGATAGGAACTCTTGGTCTGGGGTAAGGGATGCTCTGTAGTCTTGGTGCTTGGGGGGGGCAACAGTGGGAGGGCTCCTAGTGTCCTGGCCCCGCTGCTGGACCTCCTGAGGGCACCTGGTACTTCTGGCCACTGTGTGACAGTGTTGGTGCAGCGGTTAAATGTGCGACTCTAATCTGGGAGAACCGGGTTTGATTCCCCCCTCCTCCACTTGCAGCTGCTGATGTGACCTTGGGTCAGTCACAAGCTCTGGCACAGCTGTTCTTGAAATTTTCTGTCAGAGCTCTCTCAGCCCCACCCACCTCACAGGGTGTCTGTTGTGGGGAGGGGAAGGGAAAGGAGTTTGTAAAACGCTCTGAGACTCCGAGTGAAGGGCGGGGTATAAATCCAATCTCTTCTTCTCTTCTTGGATAGGGATGTGCATTCGGTTAGGACGAACCAAAAAACAAAACAAATAATGCTTATTCAGCATTATTCTGGCCTGCCGAAAGCCGGATCAGATTCTCTTATCTGATTCGACTGGCTGAACAGGGATTCCCCGAATGGATGCTATATATTCAGCATCCATTCGGGGAATTCCTTTGCTGGGCGAGGAAGGGAAAGTGTTTAAATTTAAAACATTTTCCCTTGCTTCTGGGGCTGGTGCCACCTCAGCAGAGTGATTCCCCGGCCAAGGGAAGAAATTTAAACTTTAAATACCTTCCCTTGCTGAGGAGTCGCGTGGTGAAGGCAGCGCGAGCCCCAGAAGCAAGGGAAAGTGTTTTAAATTTAAACACTTTCCCTCCCCCCCCCCACTTTGGCCGGTGGGCTGGAGAAAGCCTCCCCGCTCTTTCCAGGCTTGCTCGCCTTGGCGGGCAGGCCAGGGATGGAGGGCTGACTCCAGGCCTTCCCTGGCTCCCCTGCCTCTGCAGGAGGGCCGGGGAAGGCACGGGGAGGCCTTTAAATGCCTCCCCGCTCCTTCTAGGGCTTTCCCCGGCTCGCCCGCCTCGGTGGGCAGGGCTGGGGAAGCTGGCTCCAGGCCTCCTCCGGCTGGAAGCGGGCAGGCCAGGGGAGGCATTTAAATGCCTCCCCGCTCCGTCTTAAGCCTTCCATGGCTTGGCGGGCAAGGCAAGGGGGCAGCCAGCTCCCATCACTGAAGGGAAGGCAAATGGCTTCTTCCCCTCCATGAAGGGAGTGTGCCGCCTCTGCGGCATGACTCCAGGGGGATTTAAACTTTAAACCGCTCTGGAGTTGCGCCGCCAAGGTGGCAGGCTCCCTTCATGGAGGAGAAGAGGCCATTTGTCTCCCCTTCAGTGATGGGGGAACACCCCCCTCCCCCCCGTCAAGGGGGGATTATTCTACCCTATGGGGACACTCCAAATAGATCTAAACCTGAAAATTTCAGATTTATTTTTTTTTGGTGCACACCCCTAGTGTTGGACTGGATGGGTCATTGGCCTGATCCAACATGGGCTTCTCTTACGTTCTTATGTTTCCAGGGTTTAGTTTCAGTCTGTTTAACCCCAGCAGCCAGTCAGCCAGCAGTTTCGGATTTCTGCCGCATTCCCAGGAGATTTGGATACGTGTATATATAGAGCCGGGTACCGTCAGCATACTGATGACAACCAACCCCAGGACCAATGCTCCCTCTAAGCTGTGGAGTCTTGTGAGCAAAAATTCTACTTTCTGAGCTGCTGGCATTAAAGTTGTGAGTCTAGAGATTTGGCTCCTGCATAAATTAGGTTGCTCTGGAGCCACATCCTTGCTGAGCGGAGACAAAAACGTGTGAGCCGGAGGCTAAAAAACCGGTGAGCTAGCTCACACTAACTCAGCTTAGAGGGAACACTGCCTAGGACTACATATGATTTGTCCTAAAGGCTTTTCTCAGAGATTGAAAAGCATGGGGGAAAAGGATTATCATACCTTGGGAGACCCCACAGGATAAGTCCGATGACCACTGGTCTCCAACAGCAGAGTCCTCTGAGTTTGGCCAGGGAGGGGCGATTTGAGCCATTCCGGGACATCCCCCCGATGCCTGCTGCTGCCCCTTGGCCCAGAGGCTGCTGAGCTGAGAGGGGCATGGTGCTCGCTGTCGTTCAGCCAGCCGGGTGATGACTGCTACACAAGGAGGAGAACTGGGCTCTTATTTAGACAAATGAAACAGCATCGCCCCCACAGGGTTCCAGTCCAGTGGCAGCTTTAAGACCCAACCAAGTTTTAATCCAGGTATAAGCAAGCACACTTCTTCAGATACAGTGAAAGAGGATTTCCTCCACCATTACATAAAGGAAGAGAGAGGGTGGGGGGTTAGAAGAAGAAGAGGAGGAGGAGATTGGATTTATACCCCGACCTTCACTACCCAAAGGAGTCTCAGAGCGGCTTACAAACTCCTTTCCCTTCCCCTCCCCACAACAGACACCCTGTGAGGTAGGCGGGGCTGAGAGCTCTGACAGGAACTGCTCTTATCCAAGAACAGCTCTTATCAGAACTATGGCTTGCCCAAGGTCATCCAGCCAGGTGCAAGTGGGGAAGTGGGGAATCAGACCCGGTTCTCCCAGATCAGAGTCCGCACACTAGTTGCCGGAAGGGCTACTTAGAGGAGGAAGAGGCACATTGTCAAACATTTTCGAAAGGGCTGTAAAGGGGGATGAGTTTAGAGAAAAGGAGGGGCAAGAGGGAAAGGAGAGATGCATGAAACAGAAGTCATCTGAGTCTTGGTGAAGTTTGGGGGAGAGGCCGTGGCTCAGGGGAAGAGCACCTGCTGGGCATGCAGGAGGTTCCCGGTTCTATCCCCGGCAGCATCCCCAGTTGAAAGGACCAGGCTGTAGGTGATGGGAAAGACCTCTGCTTGAGACCCTGGAGAGAGCCGCTGCCAGTCCAAGCAGGCAATGCTGCCCTTGACAGGCCGAGGGTCTGATTCGGTATCAGGCAGCTTCACGTGTTTGGGGAGGGGCTGTGGCTCAGTGGGAGAGGCCCTGCCTGGCACGCAGGAAGTCTCGGGTTCAGTCTACGGCATGGGTGTGGCACGGCTGGCCCTCCAGAGTTCCCAAGTCTCTTTCCGTCCCTTGGGCATCCCGGCAGCTGTGCAAACGGTTCCAGCCGGCGCATGAGCACAAGAACCTCCCCCTCCCCTTAGAGACGTCTCATCCTCGTGCCTTGCCCTTTCAGGAGAGGCCCAGAAGGGGTTCCACAGAACCAAGCCCTACGACGGCGTGCTGTCGGCGTTCATCCGGGCGGGGATCCGGGTGCTCTTCAGCTCCTGCCAGGAGGAGACGGCCGAGCTGCTGAAGGAGCTGTCTCTGGTGGAGCAGCGCAAGAACGCCGCCATCCTCGTGCCCACGGAGGTGCAGGGCCCCCGGCGAGACGCCCTCCAGTTCTACCTGAGCGTGCCCTGCGTCAGCTACGTGACGGCCCTGGCCCTGTGCCACGGCTTCCGCTCTGTGAAGGAGGTGGCGGACAGGTACGGGGTCGCGCGGGTAGATCGAGATGGGTGGCCACCAATGTTCCCTCTAAGCTGTGGAGTCTTGTGTGCAAAAACTCAACGTTGTGAGCTACTGGCATTAAAGTTGTGAGCAAGCGATTTGGCTACTGCATAAATTACTTTGCTCCGGAGCCCCATCCTTCCTGAGCTGAGACAAAAATGTGTGAGCTGGAGGCTAAAAAACTGTGAGCTAGCTCGCACTAACTCAGCTTAGAGGGAACACTGGTGGCCACGCCAGCCCATCTACAGTGGGAGAAAAGAGCCAGAGAGTCCAGGAGCACCTTGAAGACTCACAACGTTTGTGGCAGGGGAGAAGCGTTTGTGAGTCACCGTTCATTCACGAAAGCTCCTACTTTGCCACCAACTTTGTTAGTCTTCAAGGTGCTCCTGGTCGCATGAGGGTGGCTCCAGGCGCGGGGGGAGGGGGGCCATGAAGCCCACGTGGCTGTTGCAAGAGAGGGGAGGCCGCGGTTTCCCCCTCCCGCCGTGGTGGTCCGTTGCTGGACATCTCCCCAGTGATTGTCTCGCCCTTTTCGAAACGGCCTTCCCACACCCGATGGCATACCTCCTTTCTCCTCTTTGCTCCCCCACTTGCCATATCCTGGGATTCTGGGGGAGGAGAGGTAGGAGCGGGCCGTCCACTGTGTCCCACTGCAGACTCCTGGAGCAACTGGGACCCTGATTCCGTGCCTCCTTGCAGAGACTCACCGTTGCTTCCCCTCTCCCCTTCCCTAGTTCTCCGAGCGAGCTGGCGGCCCGGGCCCGGCTGAGCCAGCAGAAGGCCGAGGAGCTCCACCGCTACCTCCGCTACGGCTTCGACAAGCAGATGCTGCCCGAGAGGGTCACGTGACCCGCCGTGTGACTCCGAGCCAGCAGCCGCGCCAAACAGATGCACTTTACCGCAATCGCCTGCCGATCTTGTAAGATGTGTAAATAAAGACCTTGGGGGGAAATCCAGTCTCTCGTGCAGCCTCCTCTCCTCCTCCGTAGGATCGGCAGGGGAGGAGAAGCCCTTCCCCCTTTGGAAAAGTGCGGCGGAGGGCGACCGAGATGGGGGGGGCGGGTTGGAGCCCCTTCCCTAGGAGGAGAGGCTCAGAAAGCGTCTGGGACTTTTCAGTTTAGAAAAGAGAGGACT